GCAAGATGTTTCCTTTTCTCCCCAAAATTACTCTGGCCAAAGGCCCAGGATAGATTATATTTTTTGTCCTGGACGAATCACAAGTGTCACATCTAATATCTCATGACCCATCAATGCTAGAAATAAATATTTTATACTGTTAGAAAGGGGAGATTCCCATTTACCCAGTGGGACACAAACCTTGCTATACTATTATTTATGCCATGTATGAAAATATTAGATCATACAATATTTTTATATGCATGGCTGAACTATAATAAGTAATTTCAGAGGTTTTCCAAAATGCATTAGCTATAATATTTCTTTTCCTCCTGAGCTTTGTGCATTACTCATGTACAAAAGCACCTGCATTTTCAGGCAGAGTAATATGAGTACTAGTGCCAATAAAAAAATGCAAGTCTCTTAAGCATTTCTAAAATACTCTGTAAATTTGATTTTTACATACAAATTACTGTTACTGTATGCTATTCACCAAAAAGTTTATCAGAATTCATTGGCTTTAACCTTTCTAATTCATTTCCTTATGGGCACTGTAAATGTACCAAGCACACGATGATAAAACCTACTTCATTATGCATTTTCCTTTTTAGATTATCATTATTTTCAATAATGCATTTTTAAAATTCTTCCTGTGAATCCTTAAATTAAAAAATAGCAGTAAACAATTTTGACTGCTATATTTTCTAACAAAAGTATGCTTAGATCCCTTTTAACACACTATTTGAAACACATTGGCCTCAGTAAAGCTACAAAGTGAGTGCTGTGCGGGCTGGGAGCGATCCGGGCCCTTTTTTGCGCCGCGCGGGCTGTGGCCAGCAGCCCGGGCACGCTGGGTCGGAGAAAACAGGCGACACGCTAGAATTAGGCACGGACGCTTAATGGTTGATTCAAGATTGTTTACTTACACTGAAGATGGTCGCGGTGTAGGCTGGACAGTTTCCCAGGCACAGCTCCGCTTAAATCCTCGTTTGAGGACTCAGACAATATTCGGATCACTCCCACGGAGTTGTCGAGGCTCCGTGGATCCTTTTGCGCGCAGGGAGAGGGATACATTGAGGATTGCGAATGGCGACGGGGAGAGGCTAGAGGCTGATCAGACCCCTGTTGTCTGTTTGAAATGCACTGGGTCCGATAGGCTCCGCAGCGCTTAGAGATCTTCACACAGCATGAAGTCTCCTCCTCCTGGTGTTCGTGGAGTCCTCCAACTTGGACGGAAACCACTCAAGCCTTTTATGCGGCTAGCAAGCCAATCGCTAGCCGCCACGTGTGAATAATTTCACGCAAGCCAATAATGGGGCTCGAATTATAATACAAATGGTGGGAACTCTTTGCAAAGTGCATTTCTGTGCTGCAAAGAAGAAATGCACACTGCAAAGAAAGCTACAAATTGGCGGGAAAATAATTCAGTGGTGCCAAAGCGCACACAAAACAAAATCACACCTTTGGGTTGTGACAAGTGCATCTATACGTGTAATTAATGGGACGTGATAAACTCCAGTACAGGTCTCACTGGTGAAAATGCTGCCGGGCACAGCATCTGCAATGCGTGCCCAGGACTGCAGCACTTTGGGCCAGCGCAGAACAGCCCTGGGCTGGTGGGAGGTCCGGGGGTGTCAGCTGTGGGCTCTGGGTGGCAGCATGGGATAGCGGAGGGGATGGCTGGGGCACAAAACTGCTAAAGTGCGGTGTTAGGTGGCAGGAGTTGCACTTTAGCACCCTTGTGCTCCAGCCAGTCCCTATCACTGTGTACATGTGCATTTTGTTGGAGTAACTTACTCCTATAGGATAGTACTGTCCCCAACTAATTAATTTACTATGCTGACTATCCCTGATTAATTAATTTACCATGCCCTGTCTACCATAGGATTTACTATCCTACGGTGAAGTAAATTACTCTGCCATATGATAATACTGTTCCTAAGGTAATTTACTGCACCCTAATACCAGTGCACATGTAGACTGTGATGCTTTACTGTGGAGCTAATTAGTCAACTGTGTAGTAAAATGAACATGTAGATGCACCCAAGTGACTTGGATACTTGTTTCTGTACCAAAAGAACCAAATTCAGGCTGATTTTTGTTCTCTTATTGATGCTGGAAATGCTACTCATATTTAATAGTACCCAGCAGTAATACTGTTTCAGATTTGTTTGGTGGCCGGAGTAGAACATGGGCTGTTTTGCTTGCTAGAATGAAGAAAACCATACTAATTTTTATAAGAAATATACTACTGCTGAAGACCACTAAACATTTATGCAAACAGCATGCTTTGTATATTCAATCATACTTCAAGGGAATGCCTTATAAGCTGACACACACTGTTGGAACACTCCGTGAATATCACAGGATAACAGAAGAGGATGTTAATCCCCACATTTCTTTTCAGATGACTTTCTAGTGGGAAAAGAATAAAGTCTCTCAACAAAATGCCTTAAATAGAGAAAATTCCAGCTCTCAATCAATCATCTGTAGAAATGGTGAAGGAGTCTTAAATTTAGAACACATCATTCTTTAGTTTGTGTAGGCATGTCTGAAATTTCATTGTGTGAGTTGATGTAGTAACACTTAGTGGTAAATCCTGTTTATCCACAGGCATTATGTTATTAGCAAATAAAATAAATTTTCAGTAAATGACAGATATGAAATCCATATATGATCTCCTAAAGCAGCACACTTTGCAATGAAAATAAAAGATGTTAACGCAAATATTTCCAGTAACACACACTCATTAGAATGACATGATAATTTGTTCAGGTTAGAATTGATTAGTGCAATAGCTTTTTAGATTATTTCTCCACTGCACACATGGGCTTGGGACCTTCTTTCACCTTTTTCCTCATGATGACCACAAATAGGCATCAAGCCTCCCATGATGCCAGCAGCACTGAGTTAGATGGTTTTATTTGTGTTCTTTGGATAATCATTAAAAAATGTTCAGTATTAAATATTTTTATTGGAACCAAGGAGAACCTGCCCTGCAGTTTAGAACAGTTTTCACAGCAAGGGACAAACATTAGTTTTTGGCATCAGAAAGAAACATAATGATGCCAGTGCTCCTGACAGTGCTCTTTGTTATGGGTTACTGGTATCAGAAAATAAAGGGTTTCCTTATCCTTTATATTTGGCTGCTCTTTTTCAGAAAAGACTTTATTGAGCAGGCATTAACCAGCTTTTGCATGTGGTATTGCACATTCTATTTAACAGAGTAGAAGAGTGCCCTTGTCTAAATTAAACTGACACTCCTATGAAAAGGCTGGTGGGACTCTGTTTCACTGTAATATTTAATCATGATGTATCATATATATCAATAGGGAACTTATTAAATTAGGTTTGATGAAACCATTGTTCATGAAAAACAATGTTCTATAAAATCTGTAAATACTACCACATCCTGCAAATACAAACATAAATGCTTGCAAATAAGGAGCTAATATATACAGTGCATGTATGACCCAACAGATGTTACTCAGTGTTTCCCTTTGGTTTGGGTGAAGTACTGAACATGTTTTCTTGCTTCTAATTTATGTTATTTTATGCATTAAGCTCTTTATTAGGGCTCTGCAAAGCTTTGGTCCCTGATTCAATTCAGTGGAGATTCAGCCTGATTTGGTGGCTGAATCGCCGAATCTGAACCAAATCAAAGGACCCTTTAATCTCTCCAAATCAAATCGGAACCCTCTGAATCGCTTTGGAGAAACTCGGAAAGATTCGGAGATTCGGACAGACACAGCATTAAATGTTTTTTCTACGTACCACTAGGTAGCAGGTGGCTCGTGAGTGGTGCGATGCTGGGGTGCATGGAGTGTCCCACAGAAGCGTGGGGGGCTCCCCAGCACGCTCGGCAGCAGACCCAGAAGTGGACCAGAAGCTGAATTGAATCGGGGACAGTGATCTGAATCAACTAATTGAATCACTGTCCCTGATTCGGGCCAAATCTGAATCCAAATTGAATAGGGCCTGCTTTGCACACCCCTACTCTTTATAAGTTATACTACTGGATATTTGAGATGGGAGGGTCTGAACTTTGGCTCTTGCTCTGTTCAGAACCAGGCAACTATTGTTGTGGGGACTAAAGTTGACACTGCCATTTTTCTGCCTCACACCCTGATTCCTGAAGGCAGCAAGGAAGATGATCTAGGTCCTAGCACATGATAGAATTTTTTTGTGTGCTTGTTCCTTGTTTCTTTTAGGGTTAAGAATAGCCAGTATACAAGAAAACTAACAAAAGATTTCTCCATAATTAGAACATGGCCAGCATGGGCTACAACAGTGAGGCAGAAGGCAGGATAGATGTGCACCTTACAGAATAATTAAAAAAAATATATAGAGAGCATAAGCTTTTGTAAATTCTGGCCCACTTTACCAGATGTTGTGAAAGTGCAGAATAGAGCAGTGTATAAAGTAGAGTGAGTGATTTGAATGCAGAAGTTGGGAAGGACGGAGGGAGAGGAAGGTGGGGGAAGAGAAAAGAGGAGAGGGGACAGTGCTGGGAGATGCATGCAAGCAAAGATCCCCTAGGAGCGAAGGGGTCACAATAACTAATCCAGGTAATGGGATAAGAATCTGGAGTCCCTTCCTTTCCCTA